ATATTTTAAGTTTTAAAGCAATCTCTTTTATATTGTATATTCAGGAATATATGCATATGTTTCTGAAAAAAAAAATGTGTTTCATAAGTGTAAGAAACCTTTACTATAACCTTATAAAGCTGTATTTGGAGCAACCTTTATTTCACTACTAAAGTTCTGACCATAGCAAATCCAAACCTTTACATAACACCTGATTTGAGCCAGTCTATTAGCCCATTTTAGGCGCTCTGGTAGCATAGTGCCTAAGGCATTTGACTGCTACCCAGAAGGCTGGTGGTTCAAACCCACCAGCCACTCCTTGGAAGGAAGGGTGGGCAACGTACTTCCATAGTGATACAGGAGGGGTCGCTATAAGTCAGATCTGATTCGACAGCAGTGAGTTTTTACTAGCCCATTTTATATATTGGTCAACAGATTCCCTCAAAGACCACTACTATTATTCTGCCTTGTAACAATCATAGAAAACACCAGTGTGACTGATAGAGGGAAAGACAATCCAACTTCCTTTTATGTTCATGCCACTTTACTATTATTCAAGAGTATTAAAAGTCTAACAAATATATTACTAAAAAAACATTTTTTTTTTGTAAATGCCTCTAAATTTTTAAAAATAATGGTGCAAGTATTGAAAAAAAATTTTCATCCATAAGAATGTCCTGGACTCTTCAGTCTCTCAGGATGTACTATTCCCTTTGCATCTGGTATTATTTTATTAAGCATTATAATGGCTGGGGCATATTAAAAACTTGTTTTAGAGACTACAAAGCAAAGCTTACAATTTATTGATCCTCTATTTAAGAAAGGAAATGGTAAATATACCACACACATTTCTCATTATATGGAAAAAACATATATATATATATACAAATTAAGTCCGTAAAATACCTTATCATCTTTAATACAGAATGGGTATCTCCAGTTCAAAAACATTTTATCTCATTTGCCTAGAATTTGTCAAGAAGTTTTGTATCTTAACTGTCACATTAATTGTTGTTGTTGTTGTTATGTGCCATCGAGTCAGACTTCACTCATAGTGACCCTTCCTTGGGTTTCCAAGGTGGTATCACTAAGGATGTAGATTGCCCAACCTTCCTTCCGAGGAGTGGCGGTGGGTTTGAACCTCCAGCCTTCTGGTTAGCAGTCAAGTGCCTTAGGCACTACGCTACCAGAGCTCCTCACATTAATTAGCATGTTCTCTGGTAGCATAGTGGCTAAGACACTTGCCTGCTAACCAGACTCCTCGGAAGGAAGGTTGGGCAATCCTACTTCCGTAGTGATACTGCCTGGGAAACCCAAGGAGGGGTCTCTATGAGTCGGGTTTGACTTGACGGCACATAACAACAACAACAACAAAATAAATGTACACCTAAGACAAATATTTAAGTAAATCCCATTCGTGGTTCCTATTCATCTCTGAATTTCAGACCACTAAGAATTTATGAAAACTAGTCTACTTCCATAGTGACACTGCCTCGGAAACCCAAGGAGGGGCTGCTATGAGTCAGGTCTGACTCCACAGCACGTAAGAACAAAAGTCATTAAACCTTGGTGGAAAACATTTTAATTTGGGAGAAAAAAAGTATTCTACAATATAAGCAATATCTCAAAAATCTTCACCTTTGAAAGGACATTTTTTTATTCTGTACAATGTCTCTAGATCTGTTTTTATTTTTAAATATTAACCTCCAAGAATCAAATAAAGTTGAGTCCTTAGAGACACTGTATTGCCAGCTGTAGTTCAAAAATCAAATTTTTTAGAAGAATTTCTACATATGCATTTTATGACTGATATAACTGGGAGCCAGAAATATTCTATAACTTGCTCAATATTATACGCAGACTAACTTTCAGTAGAGCTAAGATTACAACCCACATCTCGACTCCTAATCCTTTACCTTGAATAGAAACATTTCTGATTAAGTAAAATAGTTTTAAGAAAAACAAATACTACCAAAAAAAAGTAAAAGTTGTATCATTTTTACAGATTAGCAAAAAACAAATTAAATTCCAATATAAATAGTCTTATATGCAAGAAGTGTAATCAGAGAATCCCAAATCTGGTAAACATGTTTTAAATTTCTGCCCCATGATCTCATAAATATGTATTCACCACTAATTAAGGTGACAACTGGAAAGCCAGATTTAATAAACCAACTAGTTTTCACTATTCAAACTAAGAATTTAACAAATAAATAACAAAAGTTTTCTCTTTATCCAAAAAATAGTTAAGATATTTTTTTATTTTATAAAAAGTTTGCCTTTGTTGGCTCCATTTAAAAAATAAGAATCCTGATAAAAGCTAAGAAAATGCTTTCTGCTTTAAAATCAACCTATTTTAAAATACATAAAGTTTCATAAAACATATACCTTAAAGCTAAAAATTTTCACAATAACAAAGGCAGAAATAACTAACCCTCAGACTGTCAGCATTTTTTTTCAATCACACTTTAAATACATCAATGTTATTTTAAATCTGCAAACTCTTAAAACTGCTTACAAGTCCACTTTCCTCCTAGTCAAAGCTCAATCTTTGCGATATCTGTAGACTACAGATGCTTACTGAGGCCCACTTTTAAACTAACAAGTATAAATATGCTTGTATGTAGCTTAAATGTGAAGTTTTCTAGAACTTCAATCTGACATATGAATGCTATTTTAAAATACTGTTTAATGTATCAGCTAATGTAGCAAAAAATTATTTCCAGGTAGAACTAGACACTACTGAAACAATTTCACTCCCCAAAACACTACACAAGTATCAATTCAATTTGATAGGCAACAAAATAAAAGCTTTTTGAGTCATTAAGAATAAATTAAGACATCAGAGAATTAAGACATTAGAGACATGATCACCTACACATAAAATTTCAAGACCTACTACTCACAAAAACAATATGCTTAGATAACTCATATTGGAGCATGTTTAAATCTCAGTCAAATAAACAAATCAAATAACAAACCTAGATATACATAGTTTGATGGACATGAAAGCACCTCAAATGGTGCCTTGTACTTAGTAGCCAGGGTCATCAATATGCTGAACGAATAGAAAAATGAGTCAAAGAACTCGGAATTCTAATGAGAATTAACTGTCTCAGAAGTATGCCAACATTACTGTGCTGGTAAGGTAAAAAGCATTTCAAGGGAGAAAAACCACATCTGAGCAAATAGGTGGAGTTTGATAAATAACACACACAAAGACACTGCTTATTATCTTAATCTGATAAAGAGTAGGAATATAAAATCACCTTATTCATATTTGTGAGAAACCTCTCCAAAAAAAAAAAAGTATTAAATAAAAATCAAGATTGGTATCCTTGTTTCTATTAGAGAAAACATAATTACATTCCTACAAGCATTAAACATTCCTATAACTTGGTCAGACACTTAATAGTTTTATTTTAAAAATGTAACATTATGAAGCACCTCCAAGAGAATGCAGTAATTCTCCCTGACTTGGATTTGTAGATTAAGAATGCAAAAATGAGTTCCGTAAAAATCTGTCCCATTCTTAAAAAACAGATCTTTATGATAATTTTTTTCAAATAACAAGACAAAATTTTGTCAAATATTTAGAAATCTGAAAATTAATTTCAAATTGCAGTTTGTTAATTTCTAAATTTCCAAGTATAGAACGAAACTAACCTAAATCACTATATGAACAAAGTATGGAAATGCATCCCCTGTTTCATCTCCACTAGATTTATTAAACCGAAGTATCCTGGCTTATTTCAACAGTTGCGAGCACTCATCAACAACCTATATTAAATCACAGGAGAACAAGATCCAAATGTTACGAAAAGTACTATATCAAAATCAACTTACAGAAGACATTCATTCAAAACTAGCTGAAACTTCTTAGTCATTTTCAGAAGCCCTAATGGTCAAAAGTGACATTAGTAATTATGAGTAATCTCAAAACAGCAGTTGAAAATGTAACAGAAAATCATTACACTACATAGATTTCAAAAGCTTGTTTGCCATGGTATGACTGCCCAACACATATCCACACAACCTAAATCCTTTTATAAGAAAATTTCATGCAACTCTACCTCCCCAATACAACTTATTTTTCCCGTTCACAGAATTTAAGTGATAGATCCACCTTTGTAAGTCCATTTTTAGAAAACACTAAAATATTCACTTTGGAAACTCACAAAATCATAAAACAAGTATTTTTCAAGCTAGTAACTAACATATCGCAACATAAACAGAAAACTTTTACTTGCCAAGTTCCATCCCACAGGAAATATGTAGGGATAAAAACTAAAACTCTTCAGTGGGCTCCAATAATTACCTTTAATTAAACAAAATGCTTAACACGATCATTAGTATTTACGCCCTGCTAAACTTCTGGTTTTAAAGTGTTACAGGCTTTATATTTCTGTAGATTATTTCTGTAAAGACAAGATGTGCCGCTAGCCACCTAGCATCACGCATCTGAATCCAACAAAAAACTTGTATCTGAATATAAGGAAGAAAAAGAAAAACGGCGAAAAGAAAAAATAATGTCTTGCCCGGTTCCGCTGCGGGTGAACAGCCTGCTTGTGAAATGCTAATGCCACTTCGGAGCAGTTAGTCACCAGCTATTGTGTGGGGCAGCAGAAAGCCGAGCCGGCCGCGCGTTCAGAGACAGTGAGAGAGCGCGAGCGAGCGCGCCTCCCTCCTCCCGCCACCGCCGCGCGCGCGCCCGCACAGACGCGCGCGCCGGCCCCTCCTCCTCCGGCCTTGCACTGCACAACACTCATGACGTATCTTTATTTCTAGCACATTAACAAAATATCACAAATAAATTGTCTGCAGCCCCTGCAGCCCCGGGGTGCGGGTCCCCCCGGCCACTGCACCCCGCAGCCTCTGCGCTGTCCTCCCAACCCTCCCCGAGGCCTTTGGAGCTTTCACGTTCTGGGGCCAAGTTTTTGTCTCTGTAAAAAATTGCGGGAAATTCAATTTTTATTCGACTCGGGGAAAAGTTTCTTTGCACCGCGCCGTGAATGTCTCACCAGATTCTGGTAGGTCCTGGGATGCTCCTTCCCGGTCCAGTCGGTGCGCCGGGGCAGCAGCTGCGGGAAGAGGACGCCCCGTGAGCCCGGCCCCGGGCCCCGACCAGTCCGCTC